AAATGTCTTCTTTAAAAAGAGAGAAAATAAAGAAAAAAGCATGCTTCTCCTGACCCCGAATCTATTTTCTGTATATTTTTTCAAAACCATTTTAAAGGCCTTTCAGATGCTCCCACCTTAGCTGCTGAGATATCATCTTTTACATTTCACCCAGTGAGTAAACTCTGGAAAGCCTAACTCTCTTTTATCCCACAATGTAATCTGATCCACCTCTCAGCATCAGGGGACATCTGGGATCCATCTTATCTTTCCCACTGGCTAGTTGATTAACCAGAAAGTGTTTTGAATTGGATTCATATATGGCAGAACTCCACGGACTTTATGAATTACAATGGGAGCAGATAAAAAGTCAGATTTTATTTCTGTGCTTTTAAAGAAAATTCTGTTGCCGTTCGGATCGAGTGCTTAAAAATTGGAGAGAAAAACTATTATATTGTATTAGTGGCTAAATACAGTAATTCATGGGATCATCTGACTATTTTAAATAAGATACATTTTTTTTTCAGAGTGAGGAAGTCCTAAGTCAATAACCTGACACAGAGTTGTCAATCCACAGGCATATTACAGTTAGTTGAAAATAGAAGGCCAGGGAAAGTGTTAGATTGCTCTTTCTTGCTCCATTTCTACTTGATGGTGTTTCTAGAGACATAAGAGAGGCTGGAAGTTGGAGACCTTTAATCCAGTGCATCCTTCCTACACCATGTTTTTTCGCCAGGTTCTTGGTGAGGGATGTGTTTAGTTCAAATAGCCACTAGACTTTTCAATAATCTTAATTGTTTTCATCATTACTACCTATGAGGGAGGTTCAGTGCATAAATATATTAATAATTCAGTGCATAAATACATAAATAATTCATTTGTTTTCTCCTTTGTTTTAAATATCCCCACTGAAAACTCATGATTCCTACTACTAAGATTTTATGAGAACCAAAATCACATTGTATATATCCAGTACATTCTACATTCAGTATAACCTAAGGGAAACCACGTCTCGTGGGCAGAACTGATGACATATGGTATCATAAGGCATGTCTCCAGAAGCTAATATTTCAAAGGTGATGCCCAGGATAAGTCATTAAATATTTTTCAAAGCAATTAGGGCATCAGTTTCTAAATCTGATTTCTAGGAGGACTAGGAAGGATAGTGGTCTCATGAACCAAATTATAATTAAAAACTTTGTACATGAAGGATAGTGGTCTCATGAACCAAATTATAATTAAAAACTTTGTATAATTAAAAACTATGAAAATGAGAGCTGTTCTGCTGCAATTATTATGATCATCCTGGTGGGACAAGAAGCTATGATGACTTTGCTTGAGTGTTCACTCCTGCAAGCTGGGTGATCCCAGATGTATCAGGGGTCCAATGAGGGTCTTGAACTATGCTTGAGATGTTTTGGGTTCAACAAAGAAGCTTTTGCCAAATCCTTCTTCCCTTAATTTTTAAACATGTGTATTTCAAGGGAAATTTGATTCATATGTTTCTGATTCATTTACACTTAAATCATCAAAATGTTATTTTGTAAGGGCTATTTGATGTCCAAGAATCTTTCTGAACCTGTTTTATGAGTCCTCTTAAGTCCTTTTTCTTAAAACAGGAAGTTGCATTTTGCCAAGTACAAATAAACTAAAACGTTAAAAAGGTTCAAGTTCCAGTTTCCAACTCTTAACTCCAGGTTTTAAGTACATTCTCAATTTAGCAAAATGTATTTTCCCACCCCTACAAAAATATGGGTGGAAGAAAAGACAGTAATGATAAAAGTGAGTAAAGGTATTCCCAAGCATTATTATTCTTAGAGACATTTCTCCAGTTGTGAAAGTTCACAAAACCTGCAACAGATACACTTGCAGCAATTAGATACAGGTGAGTTGAGAACAGCTGCTCCTTGATTCTCTGTTTACTGTTTTCAGCACAGAAAAGAAAACCTAAAAGTGTTAATATTTTAACTTTTTACTTATTTTACCTTTGAATGCCTTTGAGTCTTATTTATTTAGTAAAGATGGGAAGACTCAACACATTTGGTTGACTAGAAGGGACCCTAAGAGACTCTGCAGATGAGGTAACATCAATTTAAAAACATAACTGATACTCTTCTCGGAATTGGATAAATGCAGAAAATTATCTCTGGTTCATACTAAGGGGTCTCTTAATTATATATTACTCTCATTACTTTAATGCAGAGGTGATTCAGCCTGACCCTGTAATTCCCTTACAGCTAATTCACTTTCATTTCTAGAAAAAGGAGGTAAAGGTTAATTATGAGAGATGCTTGCGACCATTCTAAACAATTTCCCCAACGGGGAAATTGTGCTTTCTTGAGCCCACCTCAGTATTTCTTTTGTACTGCTGAGAAATCAAGTGATTCTTGGGATGGCAAATATTATGCAACTGAAAACACTTAATTTAAACATAATTAATAAGGGACACCTGGGTGGCTCAGTCGAGCGTTCAACTCTTGAATTCAGCTCAGGTCCTGATCTCAGGGTTATGAGATCAAGTCCCCTGTTGGGTTCTGCACTCAGCAGGGAGTCTGCTTGAGATTCTCTCTCCCTCTGTCCCTCCCCCACTCGTGCTCACTCGCTCTCTCTCTCTCTCAAAAAATAAATAAATAAAAATAAAATAAACATTATTAACTAAACTATCAGTTCTGCTATGGGAGCTCACATGCAGTGGCCACCAGGGAAACTTGTTGATCATAGAGAGCAGGTTTTATTAACAGTCTCTGTTGTATCTCAAATGGGGTAAGTTTAGGAAGAGGATGTGTAGACTGGGGGGCAATGTTCAGTCATAGGGTTCTCTCAGGACAGAAGCTAGTGAGTGAGGTCTAAGCAAAGACTGATAGGATTTGTAAACAAGTTGTGGTCTTGTTTTTAACGTGAGCCCATGAAGAATGACTGTTAAAATCTGTTTTTGCTTTTATTTTTGGAACACATCGTCTGAAAGGAGCTAGCATGCAAACATTTAACTTCAGACAATTTGTGTTACAGTTGTACAACTTACCTGTTTTGTGTTTCATAGCATAGTTTTGTAGGGTGTGGTTTTTGTTTTATTTCTCACAAGGGACAAAGACACAAGAGACAAAGTATAACATGCTTATTGATTAATTGATAGAACTTAATTTTTTAAATTGTAGCCTATCATTTACAAAATTAATAAGTAATGAATTTTATAGTTTTCTCAGACAATATTTGAAATCACTTAAGCTTCATTGGGTACCTATGTGTCTATACCTATATTATATAAATTATTTTTCCTTTAATATTATGTTTTATTCACTCCAAGAACATGTATAATACTATCAGTAAAATACCTTTGAGATTTCATATTGCATTTTAAGCTATTTTGTGTTCATCTCAAATAAGTGTTTACGTGTTTACCAACCATCTTGCCTAGAAAGAATTTATGCTGCTCCAAATATTAAAACCTTATATGCTACTTAATAGTACCCCTAAAGTTTGAAAAAAGAGTCAGGAATTCCATTTTATGAAATAGAGTAATGCTATTCTCACAATGCTTCTTTAAATGTAAAGAGATTTTTCAGAGAAAGAAACCTTGTATATGAAGAACCCTCAAAAATGATGATGTGGTAACCAAGACCTGCTAAAGGCCACATGCAAACCCCTATTTGAGATTTTTAAAAATTATAGTAAAAGCCTTTCAACAAATGGATATTCCTTTTTTTTTTTTAAGATTTTATTTATTTATCTGAGAGAGAGAAAGAGAGAAAGCACCAGCATGGGGGGAGGGACAGAGGAGGGAGGGAGAAGCAGACCCGCTGAGCAGGAAGCCCAAAGAGGGACTCCACCTGAGCTGAAGGCAGATGCTTAATTGATCCATCCAGGCGCCCCCAACAAATGGATATTCTATAATCTTCCATACTAAATCCTAATCTGAACACATGGAGAATGAAATAAATATATCCATAAGCCTTTCCGAGGGATAGGTGATTCTTGCCTTTTTAAAGTTGAATATCATTTGCGTTCGCTAAAATATATCATGTTTTAGATAACAGCCATCCTGAGTTATAGTCTTAATTTTAAAATGCCCTCTATAAGATATACATTTTTTTAAAACATTCTTATTTTCCACTGGTCTCTGCCAATGTGATTTAAAATTCAAATTCAGAGGATCTCATAATTCTCCAGCTTTTTCTCTTCAGTGGCTTCATGGAATAATCATAGTAATAGCTACCATGTACTGTCTTCCTTGTGCCAGTGTTTGTCTGACATAAGCCCCTGAAATTCTCACAGTGACCTTGAGGGCTTAGTATTACTGCTTCTGTTTAAACAAAAGGAAACCTAGTCTGAGAGAGACCCGCTGTGTCATAGCCTTGCTCCCATCTGAGGAGTCCAAACCTTTCCACTCTGCCATGTTGCCTTAAGCTAAGGAAATTCAGATATAAATGCTCTTTTCTCTTCTTTTGTTCCCCATAATTAATTCTAGATACTCTGCAGCCTAAGTTTTAGAAAAACTTACAAACAACTCCACAAAAAAGGTTTGAATGAAATTATCACAACTTTGTGCTGCGAACTGCCACAGTATTGTCATAGCTTTCCTTATTAGAACTGAAAGCAACAGACATGTTTTTTGACTAACCCTCTGACTTCAGTAAAGTTCTGCTGAAGTTACCAGGGAATCAAAATGGTATCTCATTGTGGGGGCGAGGGGGGGGGAGGAATCCATGGACCAATCAACATCTTTCAGAAAATAGATTTCAGGGTGACAACTTTCCCAACGAATATCAATCAGGTCGATCTCAAGTTGATTACTTTTCCATTTAGCTTTAATCCAAAAATATATTTCCAGGTGATTTACTTTGCTTTATGTTTTTCGAGGCCAAAGAATCATAGGACCTCTCAGATGATATGGGAGTGTCCATGTGTAACAGCCCGTTCATATGTGTCGTTCTCTAAGACTTTGACAGACCACATGCTGCACACGCTGTTTTCTGTTTGGGCTGCCCTTTCACCTGGGTGTCCCTCCCACCTCTTTTCTCCAGGACTGCCCACCAGAAGCAGGCGACTTCCGGGCTCAGCAATGCTCTGCTCACAATGATGTCAAGCACCATGGCCAGTTTTATGAATGGCTGCCTGTGTCTAATGACCCCGACAACCCATGTTCACTCAAATGCCAGGCCAAAGGAACAACCCTGGTTGTGGAACTAGCACCTAAAGTCTTAGATGGGACCCGTTGCTACACAGAATCTTTGGATATGTGCATCAGTGGTTTGTGCCAAGTAAGTGCTGGCTTCTTTTTTTTAGTGTCTCTGTGTAAATAGCTTTTGTATAGTCCTGCCCTCTCAATCATTCAGTGTTACTTTTTCTAGAGTTTATAAAGGATGACAGATTTGAAAGTTGAGGTTTAATTTCAGTTGAAACTATAAATGTTGTAATTTGTGTTAAGGAAAAGAGGACTGGAATATTTTGACTCTCTTTGAGTCTCAGCTGAATTTGAAAGGCTGAAAGTTCTTGAATATGTGCTTCCCTTTTGTATTAGATCCAAAATTGCCTCTACCTTGGTTGTCCCTGAAAAGTATTTGTATGTGCATATGTGGGGTGTGTGTGTGTGTATATTTGGAGGCATCGATTTTCATTTGCTTAGAGCTTCGGAATTACCTGGGTAAGATTAACTCTGAAGTTTTCAAGTAAACTCTGGGCAAATTTCTTTCTTCATTATTATAGCTGTAATTTTGTTGAAAGTCCAGGCAAACTCCTGAAAGGCATGGCAGTGCGAGCTCAGCCTGGATTTCATCCAGGCAAGTCTTTAAAACAGGGATAATAAAGAGGTTTGATTTCTGGTGTCAATTTATCAATTGGGTGGAGAGTTAGTAAGAAGAGAGAAAGTTAGTAGTTAATATGTTTGCAATGTATTTGCCATCTTTATATGAAAATCAACTCTGGATTAGGATGACCAGCCTAGTTTTTGGAGCATGCAGTTGCTATAATTTCCTGTGTGCTATACTTGACCGTATACTTTTATATTTTACTAAGTAAACATTTTGAGACTCTTTGCTTCTCCAAAGACAATATTGGTTGAAATTTTTCTCTCTTCAGGATCTCTAATATCTCAGCTGGCAAAGTAAGAATAAGCATGAAGTATGTCTCAGTGATTTGTCATTTCAAATTCACTGTTTGGTTTAAAACCTAAACCTATGTTTAGATATAAAAGAAGTAACTATAGTGTGAATTACTAAAGAAATGTGAGGGGTCCTGCATGATTTTCTGTATATGAGAAGGGAGACAGACATGCTAAGCCTTCATAAAATTTAAAATCATGAGACAGGGAAATTGTGGCATGTGCAAGCATTTCTCAGGTAGGAGGATGGAGATGATACATACGTGTCTGCAGATTACTTTATATACAAGAGATATGTGAATTTCAGATACAAATTTGAATATAGAATCCTACAATTTTAGAGATAGGAAAAGCCTAAGATTATCTACTCAATATCCTAAAAAGCCGTAGATTTGAATATTGCTTGTGATATTCGGTGCTTGCTTCCTTCTCTGCGATTTTCACTGGTGTTGAAATGGAATTATGAAATCTGTAGCTTTGGGAATAATAGAGAATTGTAAAGTGAATGCATATAGAAAAGAGGCTATGATGTAGGGAATGGCAAATAAAATAGTAATAATTCCTTATGTGCGTTTCCTATTGTAGTAAAGCCAGAGAGATTTCCACTTTGCAAATGAAAAAAAAAAAACCAACAACAGAATAATGACATGATTTTCTGAAAGTTATATGATTAATCGTGAAATGGGACTAAATTCCCAGTCTCCTGATATCTAGTCCAAAGCTGCTTGTACTGTATTACACTGACGAATGGACCAAAACAAACAAGACAGGTCAGCAAATTAGGTTTCATTTATTTCTGTGGCATGGGAGTTCAACGTGGCCTCTTTCTTTTCTAAACTAATCCTGCCAGCTGGCCTCATATATGTTGGCAACTGAAAGGGAATCCTATCTCAGCAGTGAAAGTATGAATTTTATATATAGTAAATATGGAGTAATAGTGCTGGACGTTTGGTTACAAGTATAAACATGCCTCCTCCGGTTCAATTCCTGTTAGTTTGACTTTCTAGATTTGGGGGGGTGGCAAATGTAAATTATAGAGTATCTGAAAAGAATATCTGAAAGGGACAATAACATAGCAAAGGAGATGAAATAACTCAGATTGCCTTTAGGCACTCATACGCAGTTTGGCTGGAGAGCAGGGCACCCCTCAGCTCTATAGTAAGAAGACAGAGAGGTAGTTTGGGAAAAAAATCATGGATACGTGCATGGCAGATGGACAGGACCTTGTGAACAGTGGGTGGCCAAGACAGTGTTTTGGTGGAGAAAAGGCATAATCATAGTTCTGCCTTAGAAAGATTAATATAGCTGCAGTTGTCGGACTTTGAAGTGCAAGGCCCTAAAACCAAGAAATCCAGCTGAAAGGGGGCTCTTAGAGCAGCCAGGGTGAGGCGAAGTATGAGCCTGGGTCAGGGCAGTGACAGCAAGGAAATAGTAAGAAAACTAAGCTTAAAACCAGGAAGGAGTTTTCATTTTGATTAAAACTAGTATAGAGGGTAGAAAGCAATAAATCAAATTAATCATGCTCAGGGGCTCAAAAACTACAACTTAATATGAATTTGTAATGAATATAATTTTGGATCCTTGCTACCATTACCATAATAGCCTGCATTTTCATGATTAAAGCCTACTTCAGTTTTATAAAAAAAAAAGAGGGAAGGGAGAGACAGTAGCAAGATGATAGAGGAATAAAGATGGAATATTTAAATGCAGTGTATACATTTTTAGAAGGACAAGAGTAAAGTCAGTCACTATAAGAAAAGCACTCACTACTACCTCCAAGAGTTTAAATACATAAATTCTATTCTACTTAGAAAAAATTCCTTTATTTAGCTTGTATCTATGTATTCATATTTTCAGTCTTTGGTAAGAAACATTAAGAAAAAGCCATGTTTTCATAATTTTTAAAATTGTCAAAAGGCTCAATGCTAACTTAAATGTGTAATTTTTCACTTGAACAGCTTCTCCTAGTTTCCTGGAGAAAAAAAATCATCTTCTCTGCTCTATTTTCCCTCATTTCTACCACATTTGTTGGGGATTCTTAGCCCTTTCTCTGGCTTTCTTTCTGCCTTATTATAACTTTCTTGGCAAGCAGTTTCAAATATTTTTGATGCTTGAAAGATATAAGTTATAAGTATAAAGAAGCAAATATCTAACTTTGGGCATAGCCTTGCTTCGATAGAAAATGACAGCATAACTACAGAGACTTGTCATTTATAAGTACTAATTGTTTCAGTTATACCTGTTTAATGCTCAAGTAAGAACCAATTCCTCACACTGGGCCTTTAACTATTAAACTATTAAATACAACTATTAAACTATTAAATACAACTATTAAACTATTAAATACAACTGTGGAGTCTTAACTCTTTTAAGTCAGGAGATACCTTAGCAATCCATAGAGAAGGAAACGGAGACTGGAAACTGTCCCAAGGTCATGACCTTGAGTGGGTCGTCTGTATTTGCTGTGGGTTTGCTTCAGGAAAATTCTAGAATCATTACCATTTATAATAATGCCTGATTCTTAGTAATATTAGAGCATCCTATTAGGCAGTATACTCACTCTAGTAGTAGTAGTAATATTAATCATAAAGTAGATTCCATTTTTGAGTGACTACCATATCTAGGCATTTTATGTTTATTTTTTCTAATGCAATTGACCCTTCAACAGCATGGGTTCAAACTTTGTGGGTCCATTAATACATGGATTTTTTTTTCAATAAGTACATTAGAAAACAAATTGGAGATTTGCAACAATTTGAAAAAACTTACAAATGAACTAGGTAGCCTAGAAATATCAAAAAAAATTAAGAAAAAGTTATGTCATGAATGCATGAAATATATGTAGATGCAGTCTATTTTATTTACTAAGACACACACAAATCTATTATAAAAAGTTAAAACTTATCAAAACACACACAAACACAGATTGTACAATATCTCTGCATTTTTGCTGTTGAATGTTGGTAATACCTACATCACCTACAGTGTTTTGTATCAGTAAGGTCATATTGATGGAGACGTTTCATCTTGTAAACGGGTGACATAAACTTACTGTACTGATAAATGCAGTACAGTACTGAAAATGTGTTTTCCTTATGATTTCCTTAACATTTTCTTTTCTCTAGCTTACTTTATTATAAGAATATAGTCCATAATACATGTAACACATGAAATATTTATTAATCAACTGTTTATGTTATTGGTAAGGCTTCCAGTCAACGGTAGGCTATAAGTAGTTAAGGTTTTGGAGAGTCAAAAGTCATACGTGGATTTTCAACTGCACAGGGGGTGGGCACCTCTAAACCTCAGATTGTTCCAGGGTCAACTGTATTTACAACTCTCGATATTAGGCAGCATTATCTTCATTTCACAGATGAAGAACTGAGGCTCAGTTATAGCACCAGCGCAGAGACACCAAGTTCTGTCTGACTTAAAGCTCCAACTCCTCTGGTGAGGCTGAGTGGATAGAGACAGGAACCATCTGATGTTCAGGAATGGCTCCCAAACTAGACTGCATACCAGAATCACTTGGAGAGCTCTTAAAAGATACAACTCTTAGTCCCCATCCCCAAGAAACTCAGATTTATTAGTCCTCTATAGAACGCTCTCCTTATGATCCTGTTGTTTGACCAGATTTATGGACCACTTACAGGTTGAAAAGCAGACAGGATTTGAAGTCAAAGGACATGGCTTAGAATTGGCTCTTCTTTCCTAATCTTGATCAGCCTTCCTGAATTGTTTTTTAATCTGTGGGAAATAAGATTGTCTCATAGACTATCGAACACCAAGTGAGAAAATTCATGTGAAAATGCGTAACTGTCAAGTGCTATGGAAATGCAGAGAACCCTGAACATTTCAACTTGCAAAATACATAAAAGTTGTGGTTCCCTGTGTGAGATGTCATAACCTGGTAACAATTCAAAAAAGTTTCTAGAAGGAGATAAAGTAAGAAACTGCTTATTCTGCTAAGAACATTAAAAAAGAAAAGGAGAACTTTCATCATGTACTTCACCATCATCATTTCATAACTGAAATGTTAATAACAAGGACATAGTAAGAACCTGATTTCAGAATCAAGGACAATACTTTTAATTCGAATATACTTTGCCGTATGAGAAAGTTACTACCCTGTACTTAGTTTTTTTTTTTTTTTTTTTTTTT